TTTTGTTAAAAGGAATTACATTGTGCAGAAAAACTACTTATCTGCCAGTGCACAACTACTTAAGGAAAATCCTCACCCATACAAAGATTTAATTGCTATCCATTTTTTAATAAAAACTTTTAACACTGTATTATGTTACCATAACTAGAAGAAAGATGCAGACTTAACTAAACAGAAAGTCTCAAGTTCTAGCACAAGCAGAAAATAACCATGTGAGTAGATTAAGGAGAATGACAGGATAAAAGAGTCTCAATTCAGAAAGAAACCTCCATTCTGTGCAGCATGTTTTATCCACAGGTACTTGGACAGTGTGCTGGCATAAGGAAGCCCACCAGGCAGGGAAGCCAAGTGGATGAAGTTTCCAACAGAACCACCACAGCAGCAGCCTGAACAGTATGTCAGAGTGAGTCAGCTCTTCCTGGTTTCTCTTCACCAGCACAGCCTGAAGCAACAAGTTCCTCTCTCTTGACATGTGGCAGAATTAAAACTGACACCTACATCAACCTATGTTCAACAACCCACATGACACTACTTTTCATAAAGTATTAGCTAGCTCAAATGTTTTCCTATTGTTTAACTGCATGGTGTGAACGTACCAAGATGGAACAGAGCCAAATGATTTATCATCAGGACATTTAATAGAGGTTCACAGTGTCTTCTGAAAATAACATCCATGAGTCTTACCTGGAAGATTCCCTCTTGAGAGGGTATCTGTGTCCAAATTATACGTATCTTGAAGCCGCAAGAGAGCTTTTGCTGCACCAGTCTGATCTTCATCATTTGGGAAAAACTGCCGCTGGATAGTCATGTTGGAGATAAAGCCTGGGAAAGACAAGGAAACACTTGGACTTCTTTAAAGGTTCCGAGAATTCTATGAACTCTGTGCATCAAATGACTCCCTATTCCACAGAAAGCTAACATTTTAAGAAGAGCCATTAGCCTGCAGAGCACCAACAAACACCATGTTTCTAAATGACAGGAGTACCCCTTTGGTTTCACAGAGAAACTATTCTTGTCTTAATAGATTTGTTTTTGTATTGTTTGGCATTTGTGGGTTTGTTGGTTTGGTTTTGGTTTTTTTAAAGTTATGTACAGCAAAAAGACCACCTCCACATGGAGAATATTACAGATAATATACTGGATAATACATTGGTAGTTTTTGCAAACATTCCACTCAATCTGCCTTTCAAAAGGCTTTACGTTTAGTAACATGGAATTTACAAATAATTTACAAGAGGAAAAAACAAACAGTGCTAAGAATAGCAGTATAAAGATTAAGGCTGGCCAATAAAAAGACAAAAAACAAACCTGATGTCTAATGCAAACAGCTTTTAACAAGGCTTTAGGCAACTAAGGAGCCACTATGAACCTAATTACTTACTTTCTGTGGACATGGACATTAACATATTTACACAGAAACTTGAGAAACAAACAAGGTTAAAAGATCCATCTTCATGCAACTCTGAAGTCAAGGCACATGCTGAAAAGTTAGCATTTTAAAATATTTGTGTATGTGAAAAGAAAGCAAAAGAATAATCAAAAAGAAAAACTTAGTGGCTTTCTGAAGAACCACCAGGGTGACATTTACAGAAGACAAGCAGGTTCTATAAAGGAAAAAAATATTCTAAGAACTGTTCCCTGGTCATTAGAGTCACATGTTATAAAAGGTTCCTGCTCCCCTCTGGTGATCACACACACACTGCTGCTGTTACTTGAAGGGCCCTCCTGCAGAGCTACTGTATTATCCTTTCTTTGGTGCGAGAACTGATGCTATTTTTCCCTTCTGCTTCAGCACAGTCAAGAGGCTGATGGGCTGTTTGCACTGATGAGGGAAACAGAACTCCAGGAAAGCCAGATGGGCAGCTGAGGAGGGCAGAATCAGCATCCTGGTACAAAGGCAGAACCAGCAGCCAAAAGAGGAACAGCAACAACAAAGCCCACCAGGAGGGCCTCAGATTGAACATACTGACAGCCACTGGCATTTTCAAAAAAGTAACTTTTCTACTCAACAAACTCTTTTGTCCCAAGATCCTGAAGCACAACAAGCTTCACAGTGTTAACTAAGGACAATGCCAATAGGATGTTTGTTAAGTTTATCTAATATCCACCAGCAGAAAACTAAGCAGCATGAACAAAACCAGATAAAGTACAGTATGCAACACTCAGCTGCAAAACCATCCCCAAAATAATTACTGGCCAAATTTGTGATTTTTGCCACACTCTAGTAGTCCTTTTTAAATATTCAGACCTGATAACACTATTTATTAGTTTATGTAAAGGTGTTCCTGCTTTAAAAAAATACTATATCCTTGCACTCCTTTCTTTTACTACCATGCTTTCCCAGTATTTTCCTTTTTCCCGACAATTTTCTTAAAACAGTCCACCCACATCCCATTCGGAAGATGGACTTAAGATGCACTGGTGCAAATTTCTGGCTGGCAAGTGCAGAGCCTTTTCAGGTGGCATACTCCATCCCCCACAGAAGCAAGAGGGAAGCTGAATGTGCTGAATCCTTATTGGAGATTAACCCTGGGTCTTTCTTGAAAGCTACACTTTATCATTTCTTATTAAAAACCTAGACCTGGTATTAGTTGTTGAGAAAGATTGTCATAGGTCATATGTCATTATTCCAGCTTCCTTGCTGCTAAGTGTCTTTCACAGTCAACTTTTTATATCCTACTGCCTACTGAAGACCTTCTATTCTTGCTGAAGTAGAAGTGTTTACTACAGTAATTCAGATCAGTTCCACAAATGTTTGGTCACTGCCAACATTCAGGTTTTGAATCGTCAGACAACTCTGGGCATATTAGCAGGAACAGCCCTTGATCATACCCAAAGACAACCCCAAGTCTTGCACTAGAAGAGTTTGTTGCCTTTTTAACTCTTCAACAGAGTTACCATACTTAAGAGATGAAATTTCCTAAAATACTTGTTTGCAAGAAATGGTAGAATAAATGAAGCAAGCCCTGATCCCTTGCAAAATTTAAAGCACCAAGGGGATTATTCAGCTTAAACATCGCAGTCCTACATTCTTGTAAAGCTCAAATTATAGCACACTGACAACAAAATGGCAGGTCTTCTAAGATTATTTTTTATGAAGACACCTCAAAAGAAGACTTACAAATCTAATTCAAACCATGACATGTGAAAGACATAATCAAGTAAATGCAATTATAATGTGATCCTTGTTCTTATCACAGGCACACTTACCATCTGACATGTCCTTCAGAACCAGGCTCTCCAGCTCACCCCATTCTGTGTTAAGCCGTTTCATCAATTTGAATGCATTTACAGGATGTCCCAAAAACCCCTCTGGGTCTTTTGTAGCAGTATCTGTCAACTGATCCAATTTCTCTGCCCATCTATAGTGAAAATATACGTTCATTAAAGTCTCTTGTAAAAGACTGCCAATACACTGTAAAACTGACTTCAAGCTACTCAACTGTCTTTGCTAATAAAAACCCCAATATAAACTGCAAACTTTTACATTATCTATATATAAAGCTTTCCTAGAAAGAACAAAAGGAGTTGTTTGGGGGTTTTTTTTAAGTCTTCTTCCCCAGCTGCAGCCTAGATCTTGTGTTGTTCTTGCAGTCTTTGTTGGAACATGGCTGAATGAACTCCTTCCTTCAAATACCCAGTGCAGTATGCCAGCAGTTCCATTATGAGCTTTCACGCAGGACTAATCAAAAACAAGCTTTACCTGCATTTTTGATCTTTTATTTTTAAACGCTTGTATCAAATTATTTTACCTTTAGACAAACACTCTTAGATCTGTTATAAGCCCCTTACCTCCCACCACTAAACTGGCTTCCATATAGGAAGCTTATATTAACAAACATGTAGTTGTCACACTCCCAAATAAGGAGCCCAGATCGAATTTCTGGTGCTACAGTTCTGACTCCACTAAGCTCTCTAACACCACCACTGACATAACCCATTCACAACTCCAACACACTGAAACAAGTACACCTTTCAACAACTACTGTTGTTCATCTATCGTTTTAATGGAAACTTCTGGGGAGTCTGCTCCAGTCTCAAGTAAGGAAGCACATCAGTCATGCTATAAGCACCAGCGCTATACTACTACATGTCTGCAAAGCAAGCAAACTTCCCCTCTCTTTAACCTAAACAATGCAGATCTAGAACATGAAGACATGTAGCAACACCCTAAACCCAGGACAAATTAACGTTAAAAAAGCCACACCCCAAAGCAAATACCACACGTCAACACCAATATAAAGCAAAAAGAAAAAACTGTAGCCTGGAGGGAACTCTATAGATGAGCCAGCATTTGGCTTGTTCCAGAATTTAGTATGCCTGAATTCAGTTTGCCTGCTTTACCTGAGACAGGTAAATGTTTACAGCTGTTAAAGGTGCCACTGTCTGCATTCACTCTTCCCACCCTGTCTTTAGCTGTTTTCCTATGCTCCGACCACCCACCTCTGTGTTCTTGCCAGCAGCAACATGAGTAAGGGGTTCCCTCCAAAACAGAGTGCTCAAAGTGCTCCCATGGACCAACTCTAGCTGCTAGCAAGCCAAAGACTGAAGAAAGCCATTTCAACAAATTGTGCATTCACACTGCATGCGGTTAAATCCATCATGTATTTCACACTGCATGACTATCAAACCTAATGAGCAGCTGAAAAATCACTGCAACCATGAGACACAACCACAAGGGCAGGATTTCTTTCACGTAGTTTCTGTTTCATAGAAGTCTCCACCACAAGCCACCCACAAGGTATGAGCCATCCTCTGCATTTCAGTTAATTACAAACTTCCACTCAGTTGAAGTCAACACAAGCTGCCGATATTCTTCAGCCAAAGTACAGAGCCCGACAAATGACCTTAGCATTTTTTTTCCAGGTTCTTCTATCTGTGACATTTTTTTTTAAGTTTTCTGTCCTGACAGTGAGCACTTCTAATATAGTAAAAACACAGCTGCAATGCTTATATGATAAGCTGTATTTACACACTTTTGGATATCAAATTGGCATGCTCCTGTCTTAATTTGTAGCTGTAAAGAATACACCTAAAACATTCCAAACCAGTAGAGCAATTCCAACTCTATATTTTAAGTGATAAAAATAAGTACAGTCTGACAGAAGTATCTTTCTTCCTGGATAGTAGAAAGTGATACACAAATGCTAAAATAAAATTCATGCATCTATATAAAACTATTTGAACATTCTCAAGCACAGATTCATATACGTTTTTGAAAGCTGGGAAACCACCCTCAAGCAAGCAGGTACCCTAAAGTGAATGTATCATACAAAAAGCAGGTTGATTAGATCTCATCATTAGAAAGCTGCACAGAACAAGCCAATGGCTCAGAGATAATAACTTAGGACAAAAACCCAACAAAACGTACAGGTTTAAGCTTTGCCTCAGAAGAGAATTCCAGAAATGCAATCAGCCTTGGGAAGCACTTTTTACATAAAGGTGGATTCGAATTATTAACTACTAGCATTACAAAACAAGCTGCTTACTTTTTGATCTGTTCCAGTTTGCTTTCTTCTGCTTTGATGTAATCTTTCAGTGATACCACCAGATCTTTTTCTGTATTAATTAAGTCTGTCATATGACCTAGAAAACAAATTAGTTTGATTAGACAAGGAGAAACTATAAACCTGGGAATTAGAAGTATTCTTCCTCTCTTCAACCCTTTCTTTCCCATAGTCCTTCTGTATTTGCTTAAATAATCCTGAAGGAGTATCTGAGTAATGCTTCTTGCCTTTTATTTTTTTCTGAAGGAGGAAATCTCATGTTGCACCAAACTTGTTGCCATGGGAATTAATGTAATATCACATATTTATTATTGGAACTAATTTAGGATTCATTTGGAAAAGGAAGTAGATTGCAACCAAGTAATCTTTCATCCAAGCATACATGATGTAGAGCACATAAAGACAAAGCTACAGAAATATACAAAACCATCATGCTTGATATACAGTAATAAGCCAGTGTTTTATTTTTAAAATTACTTTCATGACCTCAGTGGGCCCCCTAACAGACTTTGCTATTAATCAATAATTGCTTCATTTCCTGCAAGCAGGCAGCTGAACTGGTTCATCACGAAGTGATACAGCCCACATCTTCAGCTGTGTCACAAGCCATCACAACCCCAGAGAGACTATGCTGACATACTGGCATCATTATGTACCCTTAACAGCTACTTTGCTTGCTTCTACATACGTGCAACCAAAAATTTTGCTTATAATCAAATACCTATAAGAATACATAATGAATACAAGGACAAGCCTGGGTCACTAGACTAACTGGATTGATTTAACTCAAAACATGTTTCTCCCAAAAGAAAGAAGGTTGTGAGAAATAGTAAGTAGATTTAGTTCTGTACCAGTTAAAGCCTTGAATGCCATTAACACATCATTGCAGAATCAGTTTTGATAGCTGTCAAAAAGTTCTTTTACCAATGCAGCATATACACCAAAGCATGTCTCACCAATGGAAGTGAAGAAGTCCGTATGGGCATAAGAGAAAGGCAGCAGAAGTCCAAGGGCTATGGTATACCACACCTTGTTGAATGCCATAGCTGTTACCTCACCACGTACCTATAAAAGAAACAAAGTAGGTAAAAAAAAAAGAATAAATTAAAAAATATCCCTATTCAACAGAGAAAATAGACAGCTTATTCTTTTGAGGCTGCCACTAGTTCTTGAGGTTGCAGAATCTTAAGAGCTTGAGCAGCTCTCAGAGGACTGATGCCCTTCTGCAGACTTTCTTATACTTTTATGTGGTAAGAAAAGTAAGAATAGCTGGAGACAGGGTCTTCACAAGCACAAGCTTCATCTTTTTGACAATCTAAGACACACTGCAGACAGACCTGCTTCACAAAAAGAACCAAAAAAGCCAAGATCAAACACTGAGAAAATCATAACACCAAGTTAAAAAACATTTTATCAGGTTCATCCACCCCATGAAAAAAAGTTTCCTTTGATCAGTCAGAAAAATGAATAGGTTGAAATGAAAACCCTACACAACCAGTCCACCGAGTAAGTTACTTGCATGCTCCTGCTCTTCAGCTGCCACCATCATGAAGCCAGCCTCCATACATGATACAAAAGGCTTCTCTGTCAGCTGGTTCAGTCAGTCTCTGGGTAAGTCCATAGCAGATCCAGCAGACTCACAGGCAGTGCTTTCTCCCACAAACAGCTGCCAAGCCCTCAGCCTTCCAAGATCCTGAACCCTTTTAACAGCACAGGATTCTCTTGCTACTGCATACTTTAAAAGTAATTATACTGTCTTGGAATTCACAAGATTTACTGATTTATAAATATAAAAGCTTAAACTTTTCATGTATTGTATCTGCTCAGAAAAAATGAAAACAACCACCTGTACTAACAGAAACTGTTTTACACCTCTTCTAATGGCAAGAGGGAAGGGAAGGGGAAGGGGAA